AGCGGCGCGGCGGGTGGCGGCTCTAGAGCGGGAGGAAGGAGTGCGGGCTCCATTGTTAACGTTCGTCTCGTGGCTCCCCCGTGGCCGGGAACCTCGGTGTCGTTGTGGTCAGATTCCTCTATAGCCCCAGCTCCTCCATTTACTTAGCGTGGTCTGGCGACCTTACTGTCCCGGGGAAGTCTGCCTATCCCTGACGCTCCCCGCCGCCTTCCTCCTCTGAGCCGTCCCCAGCCTCGTCAGGACACGAAGGCCGTGTGCAGAGTGACCGTCCGTGGGGCCGCGCCGTTAAGAGCACACCCCGCCACCACGGCAGTAGGGAGCAGTCGCTGGGCCACGCGGGCCGTTAACGCCGCAGAAGCTGTTGCGCGCGCCCTGCGTGAGCGGATGGCTTGCCCCTAACGTCACTTCTGCCCGTCTCGCAGACGAGAAAACCGAGGCCCCGAGAGTAGTTCTGCCTTTGGGTTCCACGCTAGAAAGTGGCAGTGCGGCGCAGAGGGGAGCCCCCAGCCGACGCCCCGAAGGCAGGGATAAGCCAGTACGATAAACTCAGACTTGAGTGCAGTCTGGGCACCGGTCAGAAGTGGATTTATCGATTCGCCAGAAGCCTGAATCCAGAGCCCCTCACTGGCAAGGAAAACCTTCCAAGGCGCCTGGGGCCTGTAATGAGCACATGGAGATGAGGACTTGTACATTTTTAAATATACATACGTATAGAGATACACACATACATACATACCACGTTATACATATATATAGATATATACACATACATACCACGTTATACATATGTAGATATACACATATCACGTTATACATATATAGAGATACACACATACATACATACCACGTTATACATATGTAGATATACACATATCACGTTATACATATATAGAGATACACATATACATACATACCACGTTATACATATGGAGATACACACATACACACATACCGTGTTATACATATATATACACACATACATACAACGTTATACATATATATACACACATACCACGTTATACATATATAGAGATACACACATACCGTGTTATACATATTTAGAGATACACACATACCACGTTATACATATATAGAGATACACACATACATTATACATATATAGAGATACACACATACCACATTATACATATATAGAGATACATACACACATACCACGTTATACATATATAGAGATACACACACACATACCACGTTATACATGTATATACACACATACATACAACGTTATACATATATAGAGACACACATACACACATACTGTGTTATACATATATATACACACATACATACATACATTATACATATAGAGATACACACATACACACATACTGCATTATACGTATATATACACACATACATAACATACCACGTTATACATATAGAGAGATACACACACACCACGTTATACATATAGAGAGATACACACACACCACGTTATACATATAGAGAGATACACACACACCACGTTATACATATAGAGAGATACACACACACCACGTTATACATATAGAGAGATACACACACACCACGTTATACATATAGAGAGATACACACACACCACGTTATACATATAGAGAGATACACACACACCACGTTATACATATAGAGAGATACACACACACCACGTTATACATATAGAGAGATACACACACACCACGTTATACATATAGAGAGATACACACACACCACGTTATACATATAGATACACACACATACCACGTTATATATATAGATACACACACATACCACGTTATACATATATATAGATACACACACACACCACGTTATACATATATATAGATACATACACATACCACGTTATACATATATATAGATACACACACATACCACGTTATACATACATATAGATACACACACCACGTTATACATACATATAGATACACACACACCACGTTATACATACATATAGATACACACACCATGTTATACATATATATAGATACACACACCATGTTATACATATATATAGATACACACACACCACGTTACACATACATATAGATACACACACATACTGCATTATACATATATATAGATACATACACATACCATGTTATACATATATATAGATAGACACACACCACGTTATACATATATATAGATACACACACACCACGTTATACATATATATAGATATACATACACCACGTTATACATATATATAGATACACTCACACCACGCTATACATATATATAGATACACACACACCACGTTATACATATATATAGATATACACACACATACCACGTTATACATCGCCGCTAAGCCTGTGTATAGAGATATATACATACATTTTTTAAAATTGCCAGAGGGCTCATGCTCCCGAGAGTCAGAGAAGCCTGGGAGACAAATCTGCTCCCACACTTGCTCATAACCTTCCCCGAGGCAAGACCCTGCCTTCTCTAAAGGTATACCCCCAGCACAGTACTCACATTTGCTAAGAATTTTTTTCCCAAAAGTTATTTTACCTGTTCCACCACTAAAATATTGACTACAGTGAATTCATAGCTTTTTTCGGGAGGGGGGAGTTTTTTGCTATAGTGCATGCACTCGCCAGAAAGAGAGACAGAAGCGAGAAGTCACCCCCTGGGGGGATGGCCACACCACATTCCCTTCTCCTCTATTCTCCTCTCGGGCTCTTGGGCACACATGCACATCGCCTGGCATGAGTTTAAACCACCGAGTCCGGGACTCAAACCATAGTCAACTACATGGGAGTCCAGCGACATAGCCATTATGCCATCTGCTGGTCCCGAATTAACAGCTTTTTTTTTTTTTTTTTTTTTGGGAGTTTTTTGCATAGGGGG